CATCTCAATGTACTCCGTCTTTGATATGATTTAAATCAAATAGCTCGTCATTATAATTCACTTCCGATAGCGAAGAAGAGGTTATTGAAAACGAAAAAATTTCGATTGAAAAATTAGTTGGTAGACACAGCAATTATAGGACTTGAACAAGAAATTATGTCTGTTTATAGAATTAAAGAGAATGTATTATCACATAAAAAACGAAGCAACTTAAACAACATACATTGAAAGAAATGTTTAATAAAGTAAACAAATAAATATTAAGCTTTTTTTTTGTAAATTTTGATACCCTTTAGATCATAATTGTTCTTTATTTCATAAATTACGGTTTCACATTTTTAATATTATAATTTCTGCATGCCATCTTACCAGATTTAAACTGATGATCTATAATCCGGAAAAATCGATAATCTGGAATCGCCGAAGTCCCGACGAGTCCGGATTAACGACTTTTGACCGTATAAAGAATGGCAGATACCAAGTAAAATTACCTTGGAAACCAAATTCAAAACATTTAATGGAAGATAATAGGGATATAGCACTTGAAAGATTTAAAGAAATTAAGTAACAAATTTAAAATTGATAACGCTTTGTTTGTTCAGTATACAGAGGTTTTAAAGGATTACGAGTTAAAACAGTTCAGGAAGACAATCAAAATGATAGAGCAACAAGCAAACTAAGAATAGTTTATGATGCTTCAGCCCATAAACCAAACACACTCTCTCTAAATGACTGTTTATATACTGGTCCGAACCTGTATCCTGATATTTTTGATTTATTGATAAAATTTAGACAAAATTCAATAGGCTTTACAGCGGACATTACACAAGCATTTTTACAGATGAGTTAAATGAAGAAGACAGGGACGTTACACCATTCTTTTGGAAAGATGATCCTGATGATAGCAATGAAAATTTGAAAACCTTTAGATTTACAAGAGTTTTGTTTAAAGTAAAATCTAGTCCCTTTCTCCAAGTTGCTACTATTAAGGATCACCTTAAAAAACATTCAGAAATATATCCTGAAACAGTAGAACTCTTAAACAACTGCCTGTATGTTGATGACATTATTGGTGGTCAACAAAATTTAGAACAAGCCCTGAAAGCAAGTTTAGAAATTGTGAACATTTCCAACGAAGTAAATCCAATCAGTGAGCTACTAACGCATATACTGTGGAAATTAGTATATGCTACATAAACGTGGCATCACTGCTAATGGCATCTAATTCAAAGAACTCAAAGACATATGGCATTGCAAAGAATTTTCGCTGCAAGAATCTCCTGAAGTTGTCGCGATCAAAGTGTTAGGAATTAACTGGAATATGGATAATGATAATTTTAATTTTGATACTCAGCACTTGACAAATTTCATTTCCTCGTCAATTAACTCAAAACGTTTTCTATTACAAACCGCAGGCCGTATTTTTGATCCTGTCTGATTTTATGGCCCTTTCACTATAAGAATAAAGTGTCTGATTCAGGAAATCTGGTCTGCCAAAATTGATTGGGACGATGAATTACCACCTCATCTTAGTTATAAATGGAAAGCCTAGTATGAAGAAATTGAAGAACTGAACCACCTCAGGATTCCCAGATACTATTTAGAGGGATTATCATATGTAGATGTGAAAGAAATAGAACTCCATAGCTTTTCTGATGATAGTTTGAAAGCTTATGGATGCATGGTATATTTAAGAATAGTTTTGAACAATGGAACTTTTCAAACAGTTTTTATTGCCTCCAAGAGTAGATTTGCGCCTCTGAAATCACTTACACTTCCTAGATTGGAGCTTTTGGGTGCAATTTTATCCACTAGATTGAGTGATAAAATCACAAAAATGTTTAAAATATGAAGAAATTCCCTTCCATTGGACTGATTCTCAAATTACTTATTTTTGGATTCATAGATCTTCCGAAAGATCCTTTCATCAAAAACAGAATTTATAAAATTCAGAAACTAACTGAAAGCAATAATTGGCATTATTGCCGTGGGAAAGATAACCCCTCTGACCTCGTATCTCGAGGAACTACTGTTGCTAATTTAAGAAATTGCCAAACTTTGGTGGCATGGACCACCCTGGCTCTTACAGTCTTCAGAATTTTGGCCCTCCGATAATGTAGACGTTATTGAAGAAGAAAATTTAGAATATAGAAAGAAGTTTGCTTGTACCCAACAGTATAAATGTATCGCACAAGAGAAGGATGAATTATTTGATATTTCCAAGTACAGTCAAAAGTCGTTAATTCGAACACCCATAATCCGGAATGATCTATAATCCGGACCTCAAAGCTAAAAACTTTCTGCGCATGCGCCGCGTTGGCACATGCGCATAGGCATTTACGCGTGCACATAAGACCTTTACTACTGCGCATATGCGTGTGCGCAAGCGCAGAATACGTTTTCGCGTGCACGTTTAATGTATAACGGACAGTATAAGCTAAAATTATCTATTTCAGTTAATGTTGATGATTGCGTTGTTCCTTAATCTTCGAATTGGATCCGGCTTATTTTTTGCAGACTGTAAGAGCAATGTTATAAAAGTAAAATTGAACTTTCGATTATGTCAAATAGAACTTCCGATGCTGGAGCTCCCAAAGGATCTACAAAATGAAAGCATGTTTCGATGTCCATCAAACAAAAAGTGGAATTGCTGCAAAAAATGGATAAAGACATGAAGAAGGTGACAGAGAGAGGTTAGTGAAAACGAAAAAATTTCGATTGACAAGTTAGTCGGTATTCTCGGCACAGCAATTACGGGACTTGAACAGCGGAACTTTGTAACTGAACAAGAAATTATGTCTGTTTTATAGAATTAAAGAGAAAGTATTATCACATAAAACAAAGCAACTTAAACAACTTACATTGAAAGAAATGTTTAATAAAGTAAACAAATAAATATTAAGCTTTTTTTTTTTTTTTGTAAATTTTGATACCCTTTAGATCATAATTGCTCTTTATTTCATAAATTATGGTTTCATATTTTTAATTTTAGAATTTCTGCATGCCATCTTACGAGATTTAAACTGATGATCTATAATCCGGAATCGCCGAAGTCCCGACGAGTCCGGATTAACGACGTTTGACTGTATAATCTTATGAAAATATTAAGAATAACAGCTTGGATTAAACGCTTCGCTTTGAAAACTAGGAAGCTCGCAAATTTAACAGATGTTCCTACAACTGAAGAGCTTAAAGGTGCAGAAGAATTCTGGATACGTAGAATTCAAAGATTAGCATATAATTCGGAAATTTCAGGATTGGAAACTGATAAAAGCGTATTTAAGAAGTATACAGTAAGGGTTATAGTAAGTAATTGTAAGAATTTTCATTTTATTTGGGTTTGATTGTTATTCAGCTTAAGTGTGTGAACTCTGTGAGTTCAGGTAGGGAGTGTAGAGAAATATGATGTCATACAGCTATAGCAGCACCCTCACCTGAAGTAGAAGTTAGATATTAGATGGGAATGGCGCATTAAGCCATATCCTTTGATTAGTAGAATTTTCCATATGTTGATTAAGTAACTAATTATTTGTATATATTGTAAAATAAATATTTAACTTAACCTTCTTGAATATAGATGAATTATAGATATAGATACATTGTTCTTCATTTAGAAAGATCGATATTAGTTACGGTAGAAGTTTCGCCTTAAGATTAAATCACCCTTTCGTGACAGTAACAGACTGTGCTGCTCCCTGATCTTCTAATTTGATCCAGCTTATTATTTTTTGCAGACTGTTGTCATTACGGCAATTTTATAAAAACTAAGCTTGAACTTTCGATTATGTCAAAAAGAATTTCCAATTCTGGAGTTGCCAAAGGATCTACAAAGCAAAACCTGGATGTACATTAAACAAAAAGAAATATTGCTGCATAACAGGGATAAAGGCATATCCGTTTCAAAATTATGTGAGGAATGTGGCATTGGAAGGTGACACAAGAAAAAAGAAAAAAGGAACTTTTTGAATTTTTTGTGGAAGCATCTTAAACAACTTACATTTAAAGAAATGTTTAATAAAGTAAACAAATAAATATTAAGCTTCTTTTTGTAAATTTTGATACCCTTTAGGTCATAATTGTTCTTTATTTCGTAAATTACAATTTCATATGTTTAATTGTATAATTTCTACATGCTATCTTACCAGATTTAAATTGATGATCTAAATATCCGGAAAAATCCCAAATCCAGAACCGCCGAAATCTCAACGAGTCCAGATTTCAGACTTTGTTCTGTGTAACTATAGTGTGTAGAAATGAAAAAGTCCTTCCTGAGAAGTGGTACAACACCTTGCCTAGCTGGATCAGCTTACCTCCATCGAAGGATAACCATCCGAAAATAAAAAGAAGTTCATAGTATTTAGGCAGTCGTTACACAGAGATGTTATCATCTTGAAGAAAAATGCGCACTGCATATTCGCAGAGCAGTTTACGCTTTTAGGTTTACGCTCTGCATATTCGCAGAGCGTAAACCTAAAAAATGCATAAACAAATGTTGTTTATAATTTGATGGCTGTACGTGTTGTTGTTTTTTCACAGTGTGAGAAACATGCATACTTTCACGCACATACTTCATTTTTCTGAAATATAATACTGGGCAATAAATAATATTTGGTGGCAGTGATTTGAAAAGTGATATGCTGTTTATAGTGATTCAGCACAAAATGCTGTTTCAAGACTAATATCTCATTCAAGATTAACGTGCCTTTTGGACTAATGATTATTCGTGATTTCATTTTTCTTTCCTGGATATCAGCTGTAAACTGAAACTTTATCCATTTGATCTGCTTAGAATTCAATGTTTAATTTATAAATTCTTAGGATTTGAAGAATAGTCTTTGTTATTTCATTTAGTAGTCATTTACTATATGGTTTATGAATTCTTACTTTTAAACATTTTGTAAGACATAATGTACCATTCTGTTTTTCTAAAATGTAAACTAGTCTGTCAAGGTGTATTGCTTGTTTTCTCTCCAGAAATATATGCTGGTATTTTATTGTAGGTTTATCGCAAAACAAGGTCTTGATAAGACTTTTTATGAATGTGATACTCATATGTGGCGTCTGGGAGATAGAACCCTACCTTGGGGAATACGTGTAGATGGTGGAAGTGATTGGATTGCCTTACATCGCAGTTTTTGTTTGTATGTGACACAGCAAAACGATACTCTTCTGCAAGGCCTTATGACTGTCTTCCGTTACACCTTACTTCCTGCAGAGGTGATAATTTTTTGGTTATATGTAAATTGCTGTTTTTTTTGGCAGGGGGGAGACATTAAATAATTTTAACTTTTAAATATAATATTACATAGCATTGTTTAATATAAAATGCTTAGTAAATTAATGTTAAGTTTTAAATTGTTTTAATTAAAATTATGTAACTAAAATTCAATCTTCAAAATACTCTTGAACACAGTAGCATGAATGGTTTGATTAATTAGTTGTTTATTTACAGAAAGTTACTCTCTCAGTTAACCAATTCTAATCAAGAATTGCAGTTAATTATTATCCCGAGAAAACTCGAAGCAGAATTTGTTAGTACGATTTCTTTTATCACGGTTTTACTCGGTCTGGAGGAAATAAAAGGAAATATTCAGCTTTGATTGGCAGTTTTCCAAATTTTGTTGGTTGCGCGGTTCGTTTGGAGGGACTGGTCGCGTGTTTCCCTATTGTATAGTATACGTTGGCTTGTGGATTAGTAATATATAAAGAAGGACGCATGCGTTGAAAAAAAATAAAATAATGGCGATGATGGAAGATAGCGAAAGCGATGATTTTTCAGATAGTGATTATGAAAAGGTGGGGGAAAAAATCGAAAAAAAAAAATAATAATAATCCAACGAGACAGTGTACTCTGTGCTCCCATGAAAGAGATTCCAGCGGTAAGCCAGTCAGAAAAGAGACCAGATACCAGTGTAGAATGTCAGGTACCACTCTGTGCTGTCCCTTGTTTCAAAAACTATTATACAAAGATTTATATTTAACTTTTTTTCGTTTGCCCGAGATAACTCGGGATAGTAAACTAATATTAAAAATAAATGCTTTTACACCTTCAAAAAACTAAAAATTCAACTTAAAACCTACATATTTTGATTTGTTTTGTTTTGTTGTATTTAATAATAAAATAAAAAAATGTGATGATTTTTTGCAATTGTTTTCAAAAAAATTTGTAAGGGAAGCGGTTAATATTGGCTTAGAAGTAAATATCATATTTCAAGTGGATGTTTTTAAAATAGTAGAAGCGTAATGCGCTTGCACTGAAATTAACAAATTTGTGTCCTTTTTTTCCCTTCTCGTTTTTGAAATTAAAAAAATCAAATTTTTATAGCTCTCTGCTGTTTGGGTTATAATAATACATAAATTTATGTTTAGAGGGCCAAAGAAATGTTGAATTAATTATTAGTGTCAAAAGTCTAGGACATCACTTTAAGTATATATAATGTTCGGTATCTTCCAAATAGATTATTTTCAATAAATATGGAGAAAAAAAAAAAAAAAGAATTGCATTTATTTAGTTTATGGAAAGTTGTATTTCGCTTAGTGTTTTTGTTGTTTTGGCTGTGAAATCATCTGACAGTTTCTGCTATTGATTTTTAAAAAATATGTGTGATTTTTATGCACTTAAAAAATAATTTAGACTTTTTTTAATTGAAGAAAAATATTTGTTGAGCAATATTTTAATATACATATCGATATGTCGTAGCATCCCGCCTATAATACCTTCATTAAAATATTCTTTTGAAAACTGTACCTATGTTATATGTGCTACCTAAGATTTTAAAATTGAGTTTGGTTGTTTTTTGTATAATCTGTATTTCAAAATAAAACATATATTGATTTTTACCTTCAAGTATACCTTTTATTTGTTGTCTTGTAGAGAATTTTTAATTTACTGAATTAATGTACGTAGTGCTGTCTTATATATAATCCTTTCTTTTTCCTCTAAAACGTTTTTTAGATACCGTAACTGTCAGCCATAACTATCTCATATATGCACCCCAGAATGTGTAAGGTAAATTATCATTTATCCTTTAACTTAAAATAAAACATATTTAGTTAATTTCGACTCGGGTTCTGATGTTCATCGTTATCTTTCTCGAAAATATCTTCAGTATGTCGAGAATTTATATCTATAGTGCCTCCCTTTTTTTTTATTTTTTTTATTTATTTTTTTTTTTTTTTTTTAAATCTCTTTGTAAAATCTTAAGAAATTGCAGAGTTGTCTGTGTTTGAGTCTGTATGATATATACTTCCCATTAAGAAATGGAAATGGGTTTCACTGATTTGCAGATAAATAAAGAATTACTGTGACTTTGTACATGTACTAAAAAACTGATATTTAGATACTCAGAATTAAGGCTTAATATTTGTGTTATAGCTGGAGTAAAGTTGAAATTTGTTTGTTAATTAATAGTTATTGGTAAAAGAACTTGAAAAAAAATATTTAATATTAAAAAAGAATGCATATAATAGTATTATTTTTTAAACTGATTTTTAGTATCTGTTACTATCTCAAATTGTTTGACTTTATGGACATAAGGAAAGCGTTTAGAAAAGTAATAGAAGTATTGTAGCTTTAAAATATCTTTATATCATATTTTAAAAATTGCTCTTATATATTTTCGTTTTTTTTTTTTTTTTTTTTTTTTTTTTTTTTTTTTTTACAGTCTTTCTTTCACACTGTGCTTCAAAATAGTGAATTTTGTGGAACGGTAATTGATAACAATCTTCATGTCACAAACTGGAAAAGGAAGCAGGGTTGTAAATGCCAATATAAACATATAGTAGATTGGTGTGGTTGTTCTCCTAATGTCTTTAAGCCTGAAGACTGGCCACGTTTACAGGTATTTAAACAAATGTATAAAAAGTAACTTAATATTAATTCTATGTAGAAATACAAACTATATTTTGGTAAATGTATGCTGGCATTTTTTATAAGTAATTAAAAAAATAAATTATTCTGTGGGCATTAAAATGTTTGTCATTTCCTTTATCTGAAATGACTGCCATTAAAAATAAATAGTAATGAGCATGTAAGGACTTAAATAATAAAAGTAAGGTAATTGTTGCAAAATAATTCCATTAGGATTTGGTTTATTTGATTATGGCAAAACAAGCTAGGGCTATCTGCTTAAGGGGAGGGATTCCTTTCCGGAGGCTGTTTGAAGGGAAACTGGCTTGTATACACATTACACTTGGGAAAAACCATGAAAACACTCATGCAGCCAGACTGCTTGCCTAGAATTGAAGCCAAGTCAAACAATCAGTGTTCAGCAATTTTACTATTCGGCCACTGATGGGCTAATTGCATTACAAATTAAGGTAGTGTAATAGAATTGCCTCATTATAAAGTATAAGTATGAATCTTCTCTATTCAAAGTAAGCTTTTGCACTTCCTTGAATAGATAGAAATTATTTATACTCATTTCTAAGTGAGTGCAAACATGAGTCTCAAAATTGAAGAGTAGAATTTCTGTTTTGACGAATTCCCATGATTTTTTGAATTTTTTGTTAAAACTGAGATATATTTCTGCCAGCTTTCTTAAGTAATCTGTGAGATTCAGAAAGTCTTTGTTGCCATTGATTGTTATGTGTAATTGTTTAAAATTTCAAAATTTATTCAAAAGGACTAAGAAGTAAAATCTTACTTGGTTGCTGCAAAAATATTATTTAATTCAATAGAGTTATAAAGAAACTAAAGAAAGTTATCTCCTAGGAAATTTGAAGTGAAATTTAGAATGTAAAAGAGTTTTATAGTAAAAATTGGCAATTAGAAAGCATTTTCAGAAAGTTCAGAAATTGCTCTGTTATGGAAATAATAATAACCAGAATATATTAAGATACCGTTGTATCAATTAAAATGCAAAACAGAAGAATTATTACAGTTTTCATGGGAAGATCCAGACTTATCAAGGGGAATTGGAATCTATCCATACAACCAACAACAAGTCATGGAAAACACGCTTTGTCATCTCGCAAATAAATAAATAAAAAAGAAGTAAATAAGTGAATTTCTTTTAAATAATGGGCCCAGCGGCCGAACGGTTAAATCTCTGAACATTAAATGTTCTGACCTGGATTTGATTCCAGATGAACGGGCTGGCTGCATGTGCATTCTCATGGTTTTTCCCACGTATAACACATATACAAGCCAGTTTTCCTTAGAAAGTCCTTTACGAAGGAACCCCTCTCCTCAGGCAGATTGTCATAGTGTGCTTTGTGCTAATCAAATAAAACAAAGCAGATCTTTCAAATAATGTTGAGATTGTTACTTGCTTTTTCTGCTTTAGTGATAGTAAAGTTCTTCAGCTCTAGAATTTTATTTTTAATTACATTCTTTTTGTTGAAGAGAAATTGTAATTTATTATACAGTACAAAGTTCGATATCCGAAATGATCTGAAATTAAGACCTCAAAGCCGCCAACAACCTTTTTTTTAAGACCCTTTTTACTTCTTTGTACGAAGTAAAAAGGAAGTATTGTAATTGTGAAAAGTTTCAGGCAGCTTATTTCAACTAAAATATCCATTTTGACGTTATCGAATGCAATTTAATGATGCTTTTGCGTGACATCTATACGTAAGGACAGAATAAAAGACACTTTTCCTCCAAAAAAAATTTAAAACTGCTTTAATATGAATTCTGAAGAGAATTTTTCATGGTGTCTCACATAACTCAAAAACGAGTAGCCTCAGAACGTTGAAATTTTGCCTGTAGGACTGCTATAACATGTAGATGTGCACCTTGTATTTTGGTTACAATCGGTCGAACCAAACATATATAAATATATTTATATATATATCTACTTTGTAACCCGGCCCAGTGATCTCAGTTTCTTTACTCTTATATGTTTGTAAATTGTGCATTTTTTGCTTTAAAAATTATTGAATTATGTTGTTCTTATCTTCCGGTTAAGGTTTTTATGCCTTTAGGAAATTTGCAAGCAATATGTGTAGAATTATCAACAATTTAAAAGCTCTTTAAGTGAGGTTAAGCCTAATTTTTAAACAATGTGGTGGATTTGTTTGTTTACATTTGAAACAGCAGAATAGTAGATTTTTTGCCAATCTAGAGAGTAAGCTTTAAAACAACAAAGATAACGCCTTCATTTATTATTGCAAATTAAATCATGCTTAATCTTTTCTGGAATTTTTTCGTGGAAATAAGTGCTTAAGATTTATTTCGTAATTTTTAATATAGATATTTTGAGTTTTTGTGTATTTTTGCCTTGTTGCGAAATGAAAACTGAATTAATTGAATGAGAAATACTGAATCGTCTGTGAAAAACTGTTTCTTTTTTGTTTTGATTGCTTAATTTCTTTTATACATCATTCTGTTGAAGTTATTTATGTTACAAAAGAAAAAACAAGGTACTGTAATTTTTTTTTTATTTTATATATTTGTTTGGCAACATCTCAGAATGTACTTCAACTTCTACTTTGAGAAGCTCAGTTGAGCGATTTGTTATTGACCTTGTCATATAACTTGCATTAAAAGCATGGATTAGAAAAACGTTTAGTAAGATTCTTCTTTATTTTTAGCATATTTAATCTTAAAATGCAATAGTTTATTTGTTTTACGCACGCTACGTGCAAAAAAGTGATAGTAGAGTTTTATTTTTAACGCAGAAGTTTTTATAATGTTAAGAGATAACCCTAACCACGCGATTGGCAAGAACGGAAAAGTTTTTTCTCCTTATTCAAGTCCTGAAATCATATTTTGTTTAAAGGAAGCCCTAGAGGGAAGTATTTGATTGAAGTTGACTAAATATTCAAGTGTTTATCGTTTTTTTTCGTTAAAAGTGAAGAGCGCTAAGAGTAAATAATGGAGGTAGGAAAGTTGCAGTTGAAGCCATTAAATGGAGAATCGGATTGGCCGATGTGGAAGTATAGAATCAATTTCACTTTAAACTACTATATAATGACTCCTCCTGAAGGAAAAATAGTTAAACCAGATAAGCCACCAGAAGGAGCTGTTGAAGCAACTTTGAAGAAATACTCAGATTATCTTTCACAATATAAAAAGGCCATCACTTGTGCCATGATGATGCTTACAAATTCTATGACAAAAGAAACCATGCAGAAAATTATGAGGTTTGATACTGCTAGAGAGGTATGGCTGGAACTTCATAAACTTTCTGAAGCAACATATGACAATCAATTATATAATATTTGTCTACAATTTTTCCAGTGTAAGTGGACAATGAATGATAGTATGGCTGCCCATCTATCAAAGCTGAAGAATCTTTGGAATGAATTAAATTTAGGTCTTCAAAGAAAGCAAGAAACCCAACTGCCTCAGATGTTATTAACTTTGCAAAATTTTAGACACACTACCTCAAGAGTTATCCGTTCTTTTAAGTCAAGTTGGCTGCTTCTTAATGAAGAGAAAAGAACAATTGAGGAGTTAACTACTCAATTATGCCCTCAAGAAAGAGAATATAAAGAAGAAAAATCTAAAGGTGATGTCCAAAATCAAGATGCATTAGAAGCTAAAGCAAGCAAAATAAAAAGAAATTTCAAAGGTAAAAAGCAGATAGGAAAATGCAACTATTGCCAGAGTGGACATTGGATTAAATTTTGTCGAAAATGGATAGAAGATGGAAGACCACCGAAGCCCAGTCAAAATTATAGTCTCAAGAAAAGATGGTGTTATAGCAAATATGTCCTTACTAGCTCTAGACAAAGAAGCTTTCTCATCTGAAAAGAATTGCTATGACTGGTTTCTGAATAATGGTGCTTCAAAGCACATTACCAATAATAGTGATTACTTCACAGAATTTGAAAAATTTGAAACACCACATGGAATTCCTGCTGCAAATGGCAAAATACTACCAGCTGTAGGTAAAGGTTATGACAATAATTGATTTGAAGATTATGACAATAAAAGGAGAAAAACAATTCAAAGAACTTAAAGAAGTTTGGTTTGTTCCAGGTATTAGTAAGAACTTATTCTTCGTACTGGCTGCTCAAGATAAAAACAAAAATAGTAGATTTGAATCAACTGCAGAAGAATGTTAGTTGAAAATCAATAATGAAGTTGTAATCTATGGTACAAGAAGCATAAGTGGTGGTCTGTATAAAATTCATATGAAAGTACTTGTTCCGAATAACCCAGTAGAAGTCAACATAGCTCTCACAAGTGATTCAACTCTGCAGTTATACCATGAGTGCTGGGGTCACCACGACAAACGTCATATTAAGAATGTCCTTGAAGAATAGATGGGTGTCAGGGTTAAACTAGACAGTCAACTCTGTGAATCCTGTATATATGGGAAAACACATCATTTAAAATTTGGCAACAAAGAGCAACAAAGCCCAGAGAACTTCTAAATGGATGTTTGCGGACCATTTGACAAATCCTTCAAAAGGTATCATTATTTTGTAGTCCTCAAGGATCATTTCACCAAATTTAGGTATGTGTTTTTCCTTTGCCATAAATCAGAAGTTGCAGAAGCAGTTGAAAATATGCTAGCACATGGGAAAAACTTAAGACATACCATCTAAAAGTTGTTAAGTGACAATGGTGGTCAGTTTGATAATGAAAATGTTAGGCTTATTCTAAGACAAAAGGGAATTCTTTGCATCCCCTTGTTGGGCTCCATGGTGAGTGGGGCGGTACGACCCGAATCTTTCTCCATTTAAATATGAATGCTATGATACCTTCCTGCTCCAACAATGTACCCGATACTCCGACTGTGACTAAAAGACTAAGAAGCGACATAGAAAGCACTGCATCAGATGTACTTTGTCCACGTTTCTTAATTATAATCAGCTCTGAAGAATTAAAAATGTCACCCTTTCTAATCAACAAACATCTTTTATCTTCTGTAGGAGAACTGAAAAA